GAATCGAACCCTCATACTGCGGCTGCCAGCAAAGTTGAGACTACCTCACTCCTATCCTTTGCATCACTGGATTATGTCCCCGGGACAGCTGGGCTTTTAAACTAAACCATTGGGGGCACTGCTGCTATTTTACACCTATACTCGACGTATATTTTTTTAATCTCATATTTCAGATTCTGACAAAATTTCAAGACGAAAGGAGATAACCACCTTACTTACTAGTGCATAGGAATCGTATTTCTACTATCGGACTAAGCAATAGAAATGGAGAATCTTGCTCATAAATGAATGAGAAATTGTTTCTAATATCATAATGCAATTGTAATGACGAACAAATTTTGCTTACAAGCACGCAAGAACGTTTCTTCCGGTATGGTAGTATGCAATCACCGTGCCTGGGATCTGAGTACCAGAAAGAAACTGATAAAGATATTCCAGAGTTGGATGCATCACTACAGAGTTTGCAAAATTGAAACAATTCATTGATCTGACAATACCAAACCCGTCTTTCTCAGCTGAACAAATTGCAGATGATCTGTGTTATATGTACAGCACCTCCACCCCACTCCCCAACTACCAGAAGGGAGAGAAAGAGAGATTACAAAAAAAAAAAAAAAAAGGAGAAGAAAAGACATCAGTCGAACTAGGTATGATTATTCTTGTAGTTTCCCAGTCATATCTGATCGTTTACATAGATAGTACATAATTTAGAGCAAATTTCTAGAATTTTACCACTGCTGAAGAATATAACATCTTTGAGTCGTACTGGAAGAAAGGAGGGAGTATCTTCTTTTTTCTTTTTCTTTTTAAATCCCTCGAGGAGGGGGCTGTAAACACCTTGCATGGACAATTCTTGTAGTTGAGTTTTCTCATTTGCCTGCATATGAAAGAGCAGCTTTCCACAGCTTAATATAGAAACAAAATGCGCTCACATGTTGCATGTCAGGGGTCCAATTGCATACTTTCTTCAATCTTCTTTCTCCTGTATTGCAATGTTGCAGGAGCACAATCTCACAGTGTTTCACCTGAATAACAATAAAAGAGAAAGCAGAAAGATGGTCATGAACAAGTATTATTTAACTTAATGGTGCTCTCTCTCACACATTCTCAACCAAAATTACTTGATTGTGGTACGATGTGTCTAATGAACTCTAATGACCGACACTAAGAGAAGATAATATTTAGATCAATAATTTATCGACAACATGTACTATCATTATTGCACCTCCAGAGAAGACTTGTGAAAGGGAAAACAGTATGTCATTTTTTGTTGTAGGCATTCAGAGACAACAAACAGAAGGCCACATTTTCTAGCTTATCCTATTTGATCTATCATGTTGCATTTTTGCACTCTAGAGATGGCTAGTTATGACTACCATCTTACTGCCTCTGGAACCAAAGAGCAAGGAACAAAATATTCTCTCACAGATGCATTGAACTGAATCAATATAGGTGTAGGAATGGTTTACCTTGTAAGTTCTTACAAAGAAAACTTGCTCTGTTGTCCATGAGGCTAAAAGCTATCTCGGTTTGATTAAAGACAGCTGCCTGCACA